TATTTTGACATACCTTAAAAAAGTGTATGTATGTGTGTGCGTGTGTGTGTGCGGATACAAATTTTCGTCGACGATTTTGGGAACACCGATCAACCGATTTGAATAATTCGAAAAACATTCGATTCGTATTGATAACGAGACGTGCTGATTAGTTTTTTGCAAAGGCAGGTCTAGCCGTTCCGTTCCGAAGATATGGAGCAAAAAGTGCCAAAAACAGTAACTCAGTTTTTAAGGAACGGAGCGTTCGATTTTAATCATTCAAAAAACATTTTACTTGTATTGACGGCAGGTCTAGCGGTTTCGGAGATCTAACAAAAAAGTAAGAAAAAGTGCCATTTGGCGGCAAAAATGAACATTAGACATATGCACATCAAATTATCAGATATTTTATAGAGATTTTAACAATAAATATAAATTTTGTTTACATTCCTATGGGTTCCGTACCAATGTTTACGCGTTAGACGGCGACGCGGCGCTTACGCGCTTCTATATTTCGTATTTATGCAGTTAAAGCAGTACGATTGCTTTGAAAAAAAGTTCAGAATTTCCAAAATATTTCAAATTTCAGACAGAATTCCACTTTCAGCTTTATAATTAATTGCATATACTTTATCATAAGATACTGGAATATAAATAACTAGTGGTGTATGGCATCGTGCCTTAAGGCAAATTGATGGAACTTCTCATAGCATATCGAAATGTTCAAGGAATATTAAATGCTTGAATTACAAAGTTAAAATTATTTATTTAAAGTATGTGAAAGAGCTTTAAAATTTTAGCCACAATTAAAATTAAAATTTGAATTATTTTCGATATACAAAAAAATTTTTTTTTCAGAAATTTTTTTGAATCATTCAAATCGAATGCTTAGTTCTTTCAAAAACTGCAATTTCTTGCACATTTTGCTCCGTATCTCCAAAACGGCTGGACCTGCCTTTGCCAAAAACTAACCACTTCTCCTCATCGTTACAAATTGAATGTTTTTTGGATCATTCAAATAGGATGCTCCGTTCCCTCAAAAACTCGGTTTCTATTTTCTGCTTTGTAACTCCAAAACGGCTGGACCGATATTTTCCAAAAACTAATCAGGATATCTCCCTATCAATAGGAATCGAATGTTTTTGAACCATTCAAATCGGTTGATCCGTGCGCCCGAAAACGTGGACGAAAAATTGTTGTCCATACATACATACACACACACACATCCGTTTTTTCTGAGGTATGCCAAAATGTTCAGAAACATTCAAAACGTGAAGAAATGTAAACATTTTCAATTTCAATTTTTGAACGATTACAATAGCTTAACCTACAGGAAGTTTATAACTAGTGGTGTATGGCATTGTGTCTTAAGGCAAATTGCTGTAACTTCCCATAGCATATCGAAATGTCCGAAGGATATTAAATGTTTTCAAATAGATTATTATATATAATGTTACATTGTCTAATATTGATTTATAAGAAATATATAACTATAAAGTTAAAATTATTTATTGAAAGTATATAAAAAAGTTTTAGAATTTCAGCCAGAATTAAAATTAAAATTTGAATTATTTTCGATATACATAAATTATTTTTTAAAAAAAAAAACAGAAATTTTTTTGAATCATGCCAATCGGATGTTTAGTTCTCTCGAAAACTGCCATTTTTAAGCATTTTGTTCCGTATCTCCGGAATGGCTGGACCTGCCTTTGCCAAAAACTAATCAGCACGTCTCCCCGACAATACGAATTGACTGGTCATCATTGTTTTTGAGTCATTCAAATGGGTTGATCCGTGCTCTTGAAATCGTAGGCAAAAAATTGTATCCACACACACGCGCATACATTCATTTTTTCTTAAGTCTTGAAACCAATACCAGAAAGTCTTAAAACGTAAAGACATGCAAAAATATTCATTTTTGATTTTTTGCAACTATTGTAACTTACCTCACGGAAAGTTAAAAATGACAAATTACATTAATTAACTTTCTAATTTAACTTCAACATATTTATTATTATCTAGGAATTTACTCGTGTTCGTCGCATATTTGATATACATATGGTATATCATATACTATATGGTATATGTATATTATGAGTGAAACGAATAATAATTTCGCTTTGTTATTTAGCTATAAAATTAACATTAATCATTAATTACCAGCAATTAGTTTTTGTGTAAATAATCTAGCTTAGTCATACCGATGATTCGTTTTCAAAAGTGTTCGTTGGGTACAGTTGGTTGAAGATAAAGAAAAATCTAATGTAAATAAGATAAAAAATGAAAGAGAAAGCGAAAACAAAATTCAATATAAGAAAAAAAAGATTTAACGAAGATTTCTTGTTAACTTTTTTTAAAAAATATGTTTTGATATATATATATATATATATTGTTATATCATATTCATAAACTTTGTTTAAAGTGTTGTTTTATATATTTAAGACAATAAAAATCTTTATAAACCATTTTGGTGTTTATATCTATATCTTGTAACCTGCTTGTCACATCTATTCTTAGGGTGGGGACAGTTAGGACACTCGCCCTTTTCTTGTAGGATTTGATTTTATGACAGATCCATCGCGTTTAAGGACAATATTTCAGTTTTTGACAAATGTCCAAATTGCCATTTAATTTTTCTCTTTCACAGCTAACTGTTAAATTAACAAAATTAAAGCTGATCAAAAAAGATGGCACAACCGTACCCAGTATCCCAGAGTCTTAATTAGAAGTTGAGGTAGCAAAATGAAGAATCAATCTGTAAGATGTGAAGCACTAGGTACATAACAGTCGAGTAGAGATTCTAAACATAACAATAGTGTCATTAAATTCGAAGCTCGTTGCTTAGCAACTCGAGGCTCTCCACACGAGCGCTGAGAATCAAGCTTTGCAAACCGAAACACAAAGATCAAATTACGATAGAGATGAGAATTTAGATTCTAGATAAAATTTAGAAAAAAATATTGAAATTTTGCACTATTGTCAATAAAACCCATTATAACAAAATAATCATAGAAAATTATTGGCAGTAAACATTTAATGAGGAAATACAAATCTTATCAAGTAAATTTTGAGAAAATGGCAACTCAAAATATCAACACAACGAATATATGTACTTCAATAGTTTGTATCACAAGTTTATTAACAAAATGTATTTTTCATAATTACAAAAGCTGAAATTGGAGTTTTTTTAAAATGTTGATATAATCTGACTAATAAATAAAATTCATCAGGTCGTATCTCAGCTATAAACTAGTTGGTGTTGGTATTTTGCCTTGGGGCAAGTTATATAAACCTCCCGATATGTGTAAGTAAGCGACTTAATAAATAAAAAATAAATTAATTTATAAGTAATCAGAGTGGATTTAATACACATAATTGAAAACGAACGATCACGTTAACTCGAAGTATTTTCTAAAAGCACATTTTCAAAAATCAATAATTTTTATAATTGAACCAGTTTTCGTAGGACTTTAATGGTTTAGTATGTTTATTAAGACTAGGTACTCTATCATCATAACAAATAAATCGTCTAATTTTAATTTTAACAAACGTCAAGAAAACTACTCACTTTTTCAAATTTTGATGAATTTTTAAAATTAAACTACTTGTCGTAAGGCCGTAATATTTCAGTAAGTTCTATAAGACAATGATATTTATCGCCAAAAAAAAGTTCCATAAAAATCGGCTTGAATTTTTTTTCAACCGTTAATTACATGAAAACGGCTCCGTAAATTTTCACCTAAAAGTAAACAGTATCATTTCCAACTAATATCTTTCGAACAGTTTTTTTTTTTTGAAATCGATTCGGTAGTATGAACTTAAATGTTAACGAAAAGTTTATCACTTTTCTCTAAATTGCAAAGAAACGGCTCGGCAGATCGTCGCACAAAACTGACAAACAATAATCTTCATCGAAATACATCAAATGGCTTTTAAGTTTCTGAAATCGGTTCAGGTGTTTTTGAGAAAACGTCGATCAAAGGTGTAATTTTGACAAATGCCAAAAAAGTGATACTAATTTTTGCAAACTTTGACGATTTTTTAATATTAAACGACTTGTCATAGGACCGTAATCTTTTAGTATGATCTATAAGACTATGGAATCTACCGTAGAAAAAAATAATCATGAAAATTGTCGAAAAAAAATTTAAACACTTTATTATTAGAAAACGGCTCGGCCGATCTTTACCAAAAACTAAACAGTATCTTTCCCAGCCAATATCTTTCTAACGTTTTTAAATTTTCAAAATCGATTCAGAATTGCGAGCTAAAACGTGGACAAACATTTTTTCACTTTTCTGATATATACAAAGAAACGGCTTGGCTGATCGTCGCGCAATTGATAAACACTAGTCCTCATCGAGATACATTGAATGGATTTTAAATTTTTTAAATCGGTCGGGCCGTTTTTGAAAAAACGTCGATTTACGGCAAAAAATCTGTTTACATACACGCACACACATATACTTTTTCCAAATTTGGTCTCATTCGACTCAGAATGGCTTGTAACGTTGAGAAAACATAAAATTAGTCGGATTTTTTGATGAAAACTTCTCTTTCGGGAAGTTAACAATGTATACAAAAAGTACATTGCACAAAGATTGGACTATTTTATTTATTTGTAACATTTATTATAAAAAATATTTTAGTAAAAACAGTTCATGCAGAACTCTAAGAAATTGCGTTGCTTTGCATATTTTACTAGATTTTTCAACAATAAGAGAATTCTCATAAAGAGTAGTCTGTGCGTTCCTCAAATGGTCTTAGTATGGTCGTCCTGAGAAACTTCTTAGTAACCACTAACATCAAACAAGTAGAATATGGAAATATAAAAAATATCAATATCTGATAAAAACACATGTTTAGTCTGTAAAGAGTTAGTGCTGTTCCATTGGTTTTAGGTAAAATCTCTTAACTTTTACTATTATAAATGCTGGTCTACCTACATACAAATACATTCCTGAAAATAATCTAAAATAAGAACTACTCTCAAAATAAACTGGTCTCATCCAGTCTTGTTAAACGCAGTGCGTATCGTCATATGGTGTCTGGCATATTTAGTTAATTTATTAAATAAAAGCTGATATTTTTTGGTATGTACAAATAAATCATTTCTTTAATATTGTTTAAATAATAAGGAGCAACTGAAAATCAATGCCGGTGTTGGAGCGCATGTGTTCAGATACAATTTATATCAAAGTGAATTTGTGGAAGTAATGTACTTGCGAATATTAAGTTATGTAAACTATTTATATTAGTTTTATTGTATTCTTGTAATTGTAGAGTGTACTTTTTATACTACGATTTGTTATTTAGTTTTTGTGCACTTCGATTTTTCTCTATTTTTATTCGCGCGCGTGCTGCCATCTCTTACGAGGGAGCGCAAAATCGAAACGTCATTATTTACAAACAAATCACTCAACGCCGAGTGACAGTTAACAATTAACGATGATTAAAATTTAAAGTAAATTATTCAAAGCAATAGCACGGAAGAATCATTTTATCTACAATTTTTATGACCGATCACTCTCTTATTTGGCCTTTTATTTTTACAGCTTTTTTTTAATTAACCCTATTTTTTAAGATAGTGCATGGTAAATACTTTGACTACTATGACTGAGGTAATCAAAGACAATGGCACTACTAGAAAAAATCGTGACGACAAAGGACGCAAAAAGGATGAAAAATCTTTAGATCTAATATTGAAAAGCTTAAACAACCTTCAAACTCCTGAAGAAAAATTTGAAGCCATGTGCAAAAAATATGCAGAAATTCAAGAAGAAAATAGGAAATTGACCACAAACGCCAAACAACTTGATAAAAAATGCATAGTGTCGCAGAAAGAAAAGGAACAGTTACAGGTAGAATTCAACAAGACTGTTTTAACGAAAAGCAAATTAGAAAGTTTGTGCAGAGAGCTGCAAAGACAAAATAAAGCTATTAAGGATGAAAGCCTGCTGAAAATTAGAGAAGAAGAAGAGCGAAGAAAAGAGACGCAGGCTAAATTCCAGGCGACTCTGGCAGAAATAACAACTTTGATGCAGCAGAATAATGACAAAAGCAATAAACTGAGAGACGACAATATAGATATGACTAAAAAGTTTCAAACAATTGTTGAACAATACGAGGTTCGAGAACAACAGGTAAATATAATATGCTGAATTCTGTTTCATGTTTCAAACTGAACAGGGTAGAGCATATATTGTCTAACAATCTTGTAAATGTAGATTATCTGATTATTTATAATTTGTTAAAATCATGTGAAAATATTTTAGCAATTTCTACACACTTCTCATTAAAGGGGTATTCTAGTGTAATTTAAGTTCATTTTTAAATCATCATAAAAAAAACTACATTTTGCGAATAATGGTTGTATAAATTTAAGGTAAAGTGGTATAAATATGCTTTATATAATAAATTTTTAGTTATAATATGAAGAATACATATTATTAAATCACTTAACGTTTTATACCCATATACTTTAATAAATATCCAGAAATTTGATATAAATTAGGATGGTATTCTAATGCAAAGGCATGAATTTTAGGTCATTTTTAAATTATTATAAAAAAGGCAATCATTTTTAATACTATCATCTTTTTTATAGTTTTTTTTATCAACATTAGGAGAGCACATAGAAGAATTAAAACAATAAAGTTGATAATTTTAAAATTTAGAAGTGCTTGAAGTGAGGGGTTTCAAAAAGTTGACACATGATCCTGCCCACAATTGCAACCCTTCTAGTGATCCAAAATAAAAACAATAACTAGTGAGGTGCATGGCATCGTGCCTTAAGGCAAATTGCTGGAACTTCCCGTACCATAATTAAAAATCTTGGTACGGAACCCAAAAAAGTTTACACAAAATGTGTACGCATTAATAAAATCTCTATAAAATATCTGATAATTTGATGTACCAATAATCATTTTTAACCGCCAAATGACATCTTTTAACTTATTTTTATTGAGAGTCCATAACCGCCAGACCTGCCTTTACAAAAATTCCACCAGTTGTTCATTTCATCAATACAAGTAAAATGTTTTTTGAATTATTAAAATCGGACGCTCCATTCTCTTAAAAACCGAGTTACGGTTTTTGGCACTTTTCGCTCGTATCTTCGGAACGACTAGACCTGTCTTTGCAAAAAACTAATGAGAACGTCTCCTTATCAATACAAATCGAATGTTTTTTGAATTATTCAAATCGGTTGATCGCTGTTCCCGAAATCGTCGACAAAAATTTGTATCCGCACACACACATACATCTATTTTTTCTAAGGTATGCTAAAATGTTGAGAAACCTCTGAAACGTAAAGGTACATAAAAAAATTATTTTCGATTTTTTTGCGATTAATATAACATACCCTACGAAAAGTTAAATATTATTAATCTAGAATGATGTCGCTATGGTATATACTAGAATTTAGTTATATACTAAAAAATTATTGACAAAATGGTGACTGTTTGAAAAAAAGAATCAATTTCTTAACACTTCTTGGAGTTAAACTTTTTTAAAACTAGTAAAAATTAAAATTCAGAGATGAGGCTAGTATATGCTAGAGAGAAGTCTATAAAGAAGATTCTCCAATTTCAAGTAAATTGGTTTAGTAGAACTCGAGAAATCGTGGGCGTCATATTGAAAAAGATAGTTTTGAGAAAAACGCATTTAAAGTTTTGCAAAAGGAAGGGTACAGAAGAGAATTATCATGGTCTGAATGATGTCATGAATAGCTGTATCTCGAAAATTAAATTTTAAAAAATCTTCTCATACACCTTGTTATACTTTGAAAATTTGGAAAAAGAGAAAAACTATTTTTTTGAATTTCTACGCTAGAAAACCCCCTTAAAATACTATTATCTTATTATTTTCCATTACTCCTAGGTAGAAAAAATGGCAAAGCAAATGGATCTTCAAAATAAATTAGCAGAGGCAAAACTAGCAAAGGCACAGACTGAAGCTTTGGCTGATAAAGAACTGTTCATGCAAGAAAAACAACAGCTTCTTATTGAATTAAAAGCATATCAGGGTAAACTTAAAGAAAAGGAGGTTCTAGAAACTGCTCTAAGGGCTCAAATAGCTATGTACACCGATAAATATGATGAATTTCAAAATTCACTCCAGAGAAGCAATCAAGTGTTTGGGGGATTCAAAACCGAGATGGATAAGGTATTGCAAATTTATATACTTTTATAAATTATATGATAGTATTGATATAATGAATATCATCAAACCGTCATTGGGCCATACATTATTTTTATAAATGTGATTTTGTGTGAAGATTTATTTTATATATATTTTTTTATTTATTAAATTTATTTATTTATATAGTGATCTATTAATATAGTTTATATAGTGAACTCTTTTATTAAAATAGTGTATCTAAGAAATTTGAAATTAAAACAAATTTTACTTACTTTTTGTCCAGATGTCTAAGAAGATTGTGAAACTGGAAAAGGAAACTCTGTCTTGGAAACTTCGATGGGAAAACAGTCAAACTGCTCTTTTAAATATGGCTTCAGAAAAGCAGAAACAGGTCAATGACTTGAGCCTTGCACAACGTCAATTGAGACAGCTTCAGAAGTTGTGTCGGACACTACAGGTGATTATTAATGATGGTTAAATAGTGCTATTAAATCAATTCAAAATCATAATTTTACTCATTCATATATTATAGAATGATTCATAACTTATTTAATGTACATTATTTAAATTCATTCAGGCTGAAAGATCTGCATATCTAGCTACTTTGAAAGCTAAAGGAATTGAGCGCCCTATTGTTCCTGAAGTTGAAGCGGAACCTCTTGTTGAGATAAAATCTGAAGATAAAAAGTTGGACCAAATGGCTTTAAATTGCATGGAACTTAAACAGAATTTAGCAGAGCTTCAGGGTCAGCTGAGTTCCATCACATCTGCAAACAAAACTCCAGACAAGAAGCAAGAGAAGAGAAATAAAAAAAAGAAAAACACAGAAGACCCAAATAAATTAAACTTAAATAGCGAAGACAATTGTAAAGTTGACAATGAGACTCCAGAATCTAGTTCTACAATTCCTCAAATTGAGAGTAACGAACAACATGAAAAGAAAAATGAGACATGTATAGACAATAAAGCAGTAGCTGCTGATGTTTCAACAGAAGGTTGTGAGAAGGATATCATTTCTCCTGGCGAAGAAATAAATTCAATAGATAAATCTAATAGCGTTTTATAAAAAAAATTATAGGGCAGTTATGAAACTTCTGTAGCATGTTTATTTATACTTGTTAATTTTGAATTATGTTTTTAGTTAAATACATGCAATTTACACTTTTGAATTTGTTTTTCTATCTGAAAGTTTAATATAATAGAAAAACATTGGGAAAAATTTTAAATACTTAACTAATTGTTTCTAAAAATTGTCATCTGCTAGTTTCTGGAAATAATTTAATTTAGAATAAAGTTACTTACCTGACTACTTATCAACAATTTGTAATTGAAGAATTTAGAGATGAATGTTTTTTTTAACACTTGTACTTGATAAAAAAAACTGTCACAAAAATAAATATATTTAAGTATACTTAAATAGATATTCCAAACAAACTGAAGTTGAAGATTTTGAAAAATCACCATGAAGTAAGCAGCATTTTACCTTAAGGCAAGTTGTATGAAGTTCCTGATATAAGTAATGGGATATTCTGATCTAGAGGCATAATATTTATTTGATTTTTGAAAGGCAAACTATAATTTTGCTATATATTTTTTTACAAACTATTTTGAGAATCAAGATCAAAAATTAAAATAGTCATAAAGTTCTAATTGTAGAAGGTAATGAAGTCGGGTGTCTCAAAAAATTTAACACCTGACCATACCTGATTTCAGCTGAATCTGAATATATGTATATATATATATATATATATATATATATATATATATATGTATATATATATATGTATATATATATATATATATATATATATATATATATATATATATTGCAGAGCTTTGAACAAAGAATCCAAAAAGTAATAAAAACAAGTTTTTCAAAAACCATTTTTTTATTTACTTACTGTCGACGTTTCGGAAATAGGTACTTTCCATCTTCAGGACATCTGTCAAGAAACATGATCTTGATAAGATTTAGTCAAACAATATGTTTAAGACAAGCAGAAGATGGTGGATTTTTTTTTATATAAAATGAATGAAATGTGGAAAAGACAATGTACAGAAATATGACAATATAATCAAAATAATAATGATAATAAATCAGTGGATTATATAACAAAATATTAGAAATGTTACAAAGTTAGAGTTTTAAAAAAAGGTTACGAGAAAAACAGAATCAATTACCTGTATGATTGATTATAGACTAACACTTTTTCACTAAAAATTTTGATTTTATTCCTGTTTTTTGACACATGTCCTGAAGATGAAATATACCTAGTTCCAAAACGTCAACAGTAAATAAATAAATGTTTTTTTTAAACTTTTTTGCTTTTTATTACTTTCTGGATTCTTTGTCTCGAAGCTCTACAAAATATTTTTAAATCCCTCCCTCTCTCTATAATTAAAAAATCCATCTGCTTTTCTTAAACATATTGTTTGCTTAAATCTTGTTTTAGATCAAGTTTCTTGACAGATGTCCTGAAGATGGAACGTATCTAGTTCCAAAACGTCGACAGTAAATAAATAAAAAAAATAGTTTATTAAAAAACTTTTTTTGTTTTTTATCAATTTTTGGATTCTTGTTCGAAACTCTATAAAAAAAATATATATATATATATATATATATATATATATATATCATTGTCAATATCTAAAATAATTTGAGTTTTGAAAAATCTTGATTACATTCTGAAATAGTTAAACTTTCACAATATCAAAAATAAGAAAACAATCCAAATGATTCCCGATTGATTGCTTTTAAATTTATAATACCCATAATTGTATTAACTAAAGTGTACAAAAATGAGCTTATATGCCTTAAAAGGGCAGCTCACTATTCCAAACTTAATATTTTATAATTCAACCACTTTTCATAGAAATGTAATATTCAAGGATTTGTAGTTAGATTAAGAACCATATTGAAATGTTAAAATTCATTAAAATCTTCAAAAAAAAATTTTTGAATAATAAAACATTTTGTTGTAACATTATGGAGCTTATATACCTAAAAATAGACTAAGATCTATTGTAAAAAAATTCTTGTTCTCTGATGTATATCAAAATGCTTTATTAAAAGCTTAATTATTAACAATATATAAAACAATCATAAAAATTAAAAAACAATCAACAACAAAACAGCACAATTATCTTCTTGAAGCCATTGCTGATTGCTTATTTCGATAGGAATATATTAAGCCTTTTTTTTGTCTTTTGATTTGACCCTTAAATAAAGTATTTTCTTTAAAATTAGCCAAATCACTCGCAGCGGCATTTATGTTCTTTAAGTAGGTGCTCGAGCTTTCAATTTTAAAGACTGTCGTGCAGCCGACATTAGATGCTTCAATGGTTTTAGAATTAACTTTCTTAACTTGGAAGCCACAATCATGAGGCAAGTCAGAGTTAAGTTTCCTTTTGTTGTTAACTGGTGAAACTTGGAAACTCGTTGTGGCATTACAAACATCTGTCTTCATAGAAGATTTTGAATTCTTTTTGGTTTTATGAAGTGTGGTATTACTTATTTCATTCAGCATGTTCTTGGAAACGTGTTTGCTTTCTTTAACCTAAAATATAGATACAGATTCACAATAATAAAAAAAGTCCTACATAGAATAAAATAGTAATAAACTTGAAATTGCTGATTGTGAATAGTTTGTTTTGCTGTAACTATTGTAGAACTATCATTTTAATATAACAGATAATAAAAAAAATTAAAAGAATTATGCATATCAATATTTAAGTGTTATCCAAACATTTAGATAAAACTATAGAAAAAGGTTGTACAATTCAAAAAGATTTTACAATAATTTAAAAAAAAAACATAAGGGTGGTGGTTTTCATATTACCTTTTTATCCTTCATTGTAGGGGCAGCAGTTTTTGAATTCTTCTTATTTTCAGTCTAAAAAGAAAAACAAGGATTCAACACATTTGCATTTGATTCAAATATTTTGATGACGTATGCTATAACAAAATAAACATTTTTCTGTTACTGAATTCTATATTCTGAGCTGCTAAAATAGTACTCTCAATGAGTATATATTTTTATGTTTATTATTATTGCAAGAGATTGAACTAATTAATCATTTGTGTATACTTTCTAAGTAATGACAAAACCAAGTTTTTACTCCGTCTAATCTACACATAGTTAAAACTAATTAAATCTTTTCCATACCTTTATTTCTTTTGTGGATGCTTTAACTTTCATTTTCTCAGTCAGTTCATTCTGTACACAACTTTGAGGTTCACTGGATTTTTCATTTGTCCTCTTTTGTTTCTTTGGGTTACTACAGGACTGGTTTGGTATATGTAATTCAGTCTCTTCATTTAGTTCTTCCAGAGTAGCTTCAGGAAGACGTTTCAATTTCTTGTCACTTGGTTTCTGAAAATTATATATAGATATATCACAGAAAAAGTAATTAGAGAAGAGAAAGATATTTCATTATTATATTTTCAAAGAACCTTTTGTTTCTTTGTCTGGTTATCACTTTCTCTGCGAATGCGTTTCTTCTCATTTTCTTTACTCAGTATTTGCTCACAAGTAGCTTGAATTTTAGATATGTCTATTTTGTTGGGATCTACCATACCTAAATAGATGCATTTACCAATTTATATAAGCAACAACAAAACATATAAAGTATAAAACGAATATGGTATTTAATAATAATATGTTATTGTGGATGGTAACTAAAAATAGGTGCAAAAAACATGAAACTTTAAAAAAACAAAAATACTTACTACTTTTAGATTTCTTTTGATCAGCAGGTTTGTTAACATTAGATCGTACAGGATTTTTAACCATAACCTGAGATACACTTTCAATTGTTTCTGCTGTTTCAGATGATTTGGACTGTTGATCTTCAACTGACTCTGCTGGTTCTGTAACTTCAGCTGATTCTGATCTTTTAACTTCAGCTGAATCCAATGGTCCTGTAACTTCAGCTGAATCCGATGGTCCTGTAACTTCAGCTGAATCCGATGGTCCTGAAACTTCAGCTGATTCCGATGGTCCTGAAACTTCAGCTGATTCCGATGGTCCTGAAACTTCAGCTGATTCCGATGGTCCTGTAACTTCAGCTGATTCCGACGGTCCTGTAACTTCAGCTGAATCCGATAGTCCTGTAACTTCAGCCGATTCTGATGGTCCTGTTACTTCAGCTGATTTTGATGGTTCTGTAATTTCAGCCGATTCTGATAGTTCTGTAATTTCAGCCAATTCTGCTGGTTTTGTAACTTCAACATCAGTATCCGCACAGTTCTTTTCAGATTGTTCTGTACTTTCTTGAGAAGTAGCAGATTCTAAAAAAATGTGTAAGAAAATCAATTTAATAAAATGAGAAAAAAATATCAAAAAACATGTTAAAAACAAAACTCATGATATGGGTAAAATAAATACCTTGGCTTTCAGTTTCTCCGTGTTGAGAAATAAGATTCTTTAGCACCTCTGTATATTTACATTGAATTTCTTCATCGACACTGTCATCATCAGAAATGACATCAATACATTCATCGACCTCACCACATTCATTCTGTATCTTATTGTCAGCTTCACCATCATTATTTTCCTCATTCTTACCTTCCGCATCACTAGAAGAATTTAATACAAATGATTTCCTTTTCTTCTGCTTTTCTTTCTTATTATATTTCTCTTTAGACTTCTGGCTTTGTGACAAGTCACTCAGACCACTGCTGGATCTAGAATCTAAGTCATCAGAAGCACCTTCCAGAAGTTCTTCATCCTCTGACCTGCTTTCTACACAGAATGAATCATGTTCATAATCATCAGGTTCGTTATCTTCTTCATCAGAAGAATGTAAAGACTCTCCACGATCAACTATTTCATTTTCCTCTATTTCAGCTCTTTCATTTTCATCCATGGAATCATGTGACTGATAATCTTCACCTACATCTTTGGCTTCGTTATTAACAAAACCACTGCTATCTGAGTCGGAGTTCAAATTCAAATACTCTTTTCCATTATCAGATTCTGCATCTGATCCATCAGATAGCAATAAAGTGACTTTGTCAGATGTGTTGTCACCATTAGAATTCTTGCCCTTTTCCACAAGATCAGGAGACTTACGTTCTTCGTCAATATCAGATGTATTAACACTTGGATTTTTTGACTTTGATATTGAGCCAGATTTAGATGAACTAATAGATAAGATAGAGCTTTGTATGGAAATGGGTGTTTTTAATACAGGCTCATCATTATCATCCCTCAAAGGAGTTTTTTCATTCGAAATCATCTCATCAGCATTTTCTTGATCAGATTCATCTGATATAAGAAGTACTTGAGCAGACTTTGGGGTACTGCATTTACTTGAATCAGTGCTAATTATATTTATAGAAGAAGCATCATCAGATTTAACAACATGTTCTGGTAGAGCGGAAATTGTTTCATGTTTCTCTAAGGACTTGTTGATATTAGTTTCATCATTTACAATTTTTGTACTTATCTCATTAACATTTTCTAAATTAGCGGCATTACCTTGCTTTGATAAATTATCCACTAAATTTGTTTGATTACGCTCTTCATTTACAGATTTGGCGATAGTATCATTTTCATGAGTTTCAGAGTTAACATTTTCTAAATTAGCGGCATTATCTTGATTTAATAAATTATCCACTAAATTTGTTTGATTACACTCTTCATTTAAAGGATTGGCGGTAGTTTCATTTTCATGACTTTCAGAGTTATCAACAGCTAATTTCTTACTTGGAGAAACATTATCAAATTCCATCCTTGAGGTTTCTTCTTCATGAACAACTTCTGCACTAGATTCAGTAGTAACAGTCTCTAAATCAGTTTTTTCAGATTTGTGAGCATCATTATCGATGTAGGATATGCTATCCTTAACACTAGATTTTAGTGATTCATTATCACTAATTTGGTTTGTTATCTCCTTATAATCAACAGCTTCTAATTTCTTCATTTTTGGAGTTGAACAAGCAATTAGTGAAGTTTGTTTCACTTCTAATGGACCACCACTATCAATTTTTTCATATATTTCTATCACTTCCTTTACAGATTTATTAGTTTCTTTATCAAGAACTTCCAAATTTTCTTCATTTTTCATTGATACATCAATTATGATTTGACTTTTATTAGATCTTGTTGTAATGCTTTTGACGCTGACATCATTTGCATCTGATTTATTTATAATTTCAATATTTTCTTTATTACAACTCAAATCGTTTTTCCCATCTAATAATTGGGAAGTTTCATTTTTACTGTTATCAGTAAGAGACCTTTTTACAATATCTGATTTATTTAACAAACCTTTGAAATCTTTGCCTTGTGCTTTGGTGATCACCGAACTATCATCAGGATCAAAAGAATCATCAATAATTAGTTTTGGTGTTTGATCATTAGAATTATGACCAGAAATATTTTCTTTCCTAGCTTCTTCTGCAGAAGAGTTTAAGCTACGTTCAAATTCGGCATATTCTGCTTCATCTTTTATTTTTTGTGTAGCATCGACAATCACTTCAGCAGTACTCTGGTTTGAATTTTTATCTAAAATATTAAAATATTAAAATTATACATAGATAAAAGTATGCTCTCATAAACAGTGAAATTCTAAATACTAATTCAGGTAATACCTGAAGAATTTGACATCACTGTATCATTTGTCGCTTTCTTTGGTGAGTCAGTATTGATTGTACTTTTATTTGCAACAGTAGATGCATTTAATTTTGATCTTGATCTGGTGGAAATATTAAAATCATTTTTTAGTTCAGCGGTTTTATCAGCATCTTCTGTAGCACTCGAATCACTTCTTGGACTACTTTTTACAGAATCTCCTTTATCTACATTGAAATGAAATAAAATAAACAATTGAGGTTTAGAGCAAAGAATTCACCTTCTATAAACTATAATATATATATATATATATATATATATAAATATATAAATGTTTATTTTTGAATCAGCATATTTCCATGTAATAAAAGAGGAAAGTATTGAAGTGACTATTTTGTGATAAATAAAAAAAAAAGAATCTTACCCATAACAACTTGCATTTCATTAGATTCTTCATTCACAGAAATACTAAGTGCACTTTTATTCTTTGAATCAGATACATTCAATTTAGATTTTGATCTGGTCGATATATTTCCTACATTGGGGCTTCCTTCACTATTAATTGTATCAGTATCTTTTGTACTAATACTTGTATCTTTCTGAGAAGCATTAGATGCATTTAACTTGGATTTAGATCTTGTAGAAATATTACATTCCTCAGAAGGTTTACTATCAGCTAATTTATTGATTTCCTTTATTTGCGAATCATTTAGACTCCTTCTAGATCGTGTAGATATGTTTAGTTCTTTACCAGAACTAGCTGATGAATCTAAATCAATTTTTTTCAAATCCGAAGAAACTGAATCTTTAGTTAGATCATCTGCACTAGTGGATATCCTCAATTTGGTTTTAGAACGTGTAGATACATTAGAGCTGTCAGAAGAATAGGATGTATTTGAAACTTGTTGGGTATTCGTTTCTTCTTCAACAAGATTATCTTTATTAGTAACTGTTTTTATCATATCTTGGTCAGTTGTATCAACTTCCATAGGTTCTGGAATATAATCATTTGAAGATAATGGTTTATCAGGAGAAGATTTATCAACATCAGATTTTTTGTCCTCATCTTGAACACCTGCTTTCTCTATATGATCTGTAAATACTTCATCAGATTCTTTATCAACTTCTTTTTCAGTAATTGATTCTTTTACATCCGATTGGTTGCCCAAAGTTAACTTACTTTCAGAATTCTCTAACGTTTCTTTCATCACAGAATCTGTTACTGAAGTACTAGGTGTTACAGCAAACTGATCAACAACACTCATACCGGATTTATTATTTATATCATCTTTCATTGCTAAAATATTGATGTCTTCCTCTTCTTGTATAACTTCCACAATTGGGAGAGTTGATACAGATTGTGGGCGTTGTTCATCTAAGTCAATACTTAGTCGGCGAGAACGACGCCTTTCAGTTGATATAGGTGTTGATGGTCTGCTTCCAGGTTCTTCTAAATTTAAGTCAGTACTTAATCTTCGGGATTTACGAGTGCTAACTGCTTTCGCTGCAAAAAATTAAAAATGTACTCATATATGATATAACAAATATAAATGTAGCTTCTAAATCGTTAATTATTAATGAAAACACTATATACTCTAGATTGTAAACAATAAACATTTATTTATGTTCATTATAAATTATGTTATTTAATAAAGAAAACAATATACAAACAGAAAATTATGTGAAAAAAACGAAAATTGTATTTGAAGTTCATAATGAAAAACTGTATGTCAGAGTAAATAAACTAGTTGTTCATTATGTTTAATCGATAGCTGTTAGTACTTTCATGTTTCAAGGTCTCTATATGGTTGTTTATACAAGAATGAATAAACAAATCTTACGTTTAGTTTCTGCAATAGACGGCAACCCCGTAACTCTTGAAGCCCTCGCTTTTTTGCCAGGAGTCCCTGCAGCTGGAGGCGATATTGAATCAGTACTCAGCCGCCTGGCAAGCGACCTCGTAGTTCCTGTTATAAAAGGCAATGTAATGTAAGAATATGTCTTAATAATAATGTCCAGATAGTTATTGCATGAAATTCACTTACTTCTCGTTGTTCCTTCTTCAGACATATTACAAAATAAAAGATTATCGTTAGAATCTGTATTAAATAAAAATAGTTAAATTATTTGACCCTGCAAATGTAAGATTGAATTAAAAATTAAAATCCGACAGAAGCCACTAACGAACTTATCAAAAATGTGTTTTTTGGTTAGGAGTAGCATGCAAACCTTGCGAATCTGTAAACCGAATACCAACTGTTGAATACGCAGTTGCAGTACCAACATCAAGGAAAGGGCGGCCGATTCAAATTCAAATATTTCAGATGCAGTTTCGATTATAGTAAAATAGAAAATAACTATTATTTATCAATATATTTCACAATATAATTCCGTTTGATTAAAAGTTGATTTACAATTTTCATTTATCATTTGCTTAGTGCTGTTACATAATAGGGTTTATTTAATTAATATTTAATTTGTTAATAAATTAATTAAACGGTAAAATGCATTAATATTTAAAATAATGAGATAAAAAAACAAAGTATAAATTTGTAATCAGTTATTGAATACTGCAATTTTTAAAGAGTGCAATTTTATTCACTATCTATAGAAATATATTATGTGAAAGAGATGTTCAATGAAATATAATAACACATATTTGTTATTTATTACAAATAAAATCATTTATTATTAATAAAATTGTGTAAACAGAATAAATTAACTAGTGGTGCATGGCGTCGTGCCTTAAGGCAAATTGCTGGAACTTTCCGTACCGAAAATTAAAATGTTTAAAAAAGCTTTAAAAAAATTAACTGAAAAAAATAGATTTCTGTGAATTTTGAAAAAATTTAACTTTTTTGAAAAAAAATAAAACTTTTGTTTTATATTTTGAATTCTTTTGAGGATTTTAAACTTTTTTTTTAAATGATCGGTCTAATGATTTTGAACGATATATGGCAATTTTTTACTTTTTTTATTGCATCTCTGAAACCTGCCTTCCCTGCCTGCCATACAAATAAAATATTATTTTCAAGAAATAATTTTTTTCCAAATATGCAATAATAAACATTATTCAATAAATAAAAATATCATTAGCTATTTTATTAAATTATTTATATGTAAACAATAAATAATGGGCTCAGCTCATAAGCTGAGTTAAACTACAACTCGATTCAGGAAATAATAGTGTGAGAGATTTTCCATTTCCGTTTCACACCGCAGTGCCCTAAATGGATATTTTCAATTGGGAACATATCTTTTATCTATATTTTCAGTGAAAATAGACATTGCTACTGCAGGATGTCAGGTTAACTTAAATTACAAACAACATGGAATACCCCATTTTATATATAATATATTTTAAGTGCATTTATTATAATTATATATTGTGAACATTATATATAATTATAATTATACATTCGGAACACGTTACTGAGAAATATTAAATGTTATATTTTAATTTATAGCATAGTATACTATGCTCAATCTGCCAGTTGGTTCACTGGTGCATGGCATTGTGTCTTAAGGCAAATTGCTGGAACTTCCCAAAGCAAAAATTAATTTTTTAAAGTATCTTTAAACTTTAAGAAAAAAGATTTTTGAGAATTCTAAAATTTGACTTTTTGAAAAATTTGATTTTTTTACATTTTGAAATTTTTGATTTTTTTTTTCACAGCAATCGCTGCGTTGCAGTCTAATAGATGAACATTGGTGCGGAACCTATAGAAATGTAAACAAAATTTGTATTTATTATTAAAATTTCTATAAAATATCTGATGATTTGATTTGCATGTGTCTAATGATTATTTTGACCGCCAAATGGCATTTTCTTTCACTTTTTTTTTATTGGATCTTCAAAACCGCTGGACCTGCCTTACCAAAAATTAAACCAGTTCTTCATTTCGTCAAAGCAACTAAAATGTTTTCTAAACCATTCAAATTGGACGCTCCGTTATCTCAAAATCTAAAATACCAGTTTTGTCATTTTTTGCCCCGTATCTCCGAAACGACTTGACCTGTCTTTGCCAAAAACTAAACTGCATAACACTCTATCAATGCGGATCTAATGTTTTTTTTTGAATCATCCAAATCGATTGATCCGTGTCCCCGAAATTTGTTTTCGCACACACACACACATCAATTTTTTGTAAAGTATGCCAAAATGTTCAAAATCCTTTGAAACATAAAAATATGCAAAAAAATTCATTTTTAACTTCCCGTAGGGCAAGTTTTAGTAATTGTAAAAAGTCGAAAATAAAATTTTTTATATATCTTTACGTTTCAGAGGTTTCTGAACATTTTGGCATACCTTAGAAAAAATGAATGTATGTGTGTGTGCAGATACAAATTTTCGTCGACGATTTCGGGAAAACGGTTCAACCGATTTCAATTATTCAAAAAACATTCGATTCCCAATAATAAGGAGACAAGCTGTTTAGTTTTTGGCATTGGCAAATATAGCCGTTTCGAAGATACGGGGCAAAAAGTGCCAAAAACGGCAACTCAGTTTTTAGGAGAACGGAGCGTCCGATTTTAATAATTCAAAAAACCTTTTACTTCTATTGATAAGTAGAAGAACTGATATTGGGAAGGCAGGTCTAGCGGTTTTGGAAAACTAGTAAAAAAGTAAACAAAAACGCCATTTTGAGGTCAAAAATGATCATTAGACATATGCACATCAAATTATCAGATATTTTATAGAGATTTCAATACTGTGTATCAATTTTGTTTACATTTCTATGGGTTTCGTAACATCGTTTGTCCGTTAGATGGCGACGCGGCGCTTGCGCGCTTCTATATTGCGTCTCTATGCAGCTAAAGCAGTGCGATTGCTTTGAAAAAAAGTTCAAACTTTCCAAAATATTTCAAACTAAAGAAAAACATTTTATTCCAAAAAATGTAATTTTTTTCCAAAAATTTAAAATTTCTCAAAAATCTATTTTTTTCAAAGTTTAAAACATACTTAATCTTTTTTAAAAACTTAATTTTTCGTACGGGAAGTTCCAGCAATTTACGATACCATACACCACTAGCTAATTTTTTGCGATTTCTATAACATACCCTACGTTAAAATAGATTGAATAAATTAGAATTTTATTGAATATAATTTGATATTAATTAAATTGTTAAAACATAAGGTAGAAAACTTAACTTATGTACCGCATCATAGATAAGTAAGCATGTACATGTACAGATGGCTGAGCAACATGAAAAAGTAAAGTAACTTCCGTTCAATCTTCAAGTTGTAACGATTTATTTGAATTGGTTGAAATTCAAATTTGTTTAACGTTTATATTTATGAAAAAAGAACGGTTAAATTGAACGGTTGAAATTTTTCAACCTAGTTCTCTCATTGTACCTGCCCCACCACTATATGAGCCGCTGGTCCGGTATATCGCGTGCTCTGGAGGATCCCTCGTCGTTGCCGCGCATTGCTGTCAAAGCACGCGACCTGTACACGCGGTCACAACTATTCTGTGTTCAATCGAAAGTTAACGCGCGTTTAACAAAAGTTTTTAAAAAAATCCAATAAGGATAACTATAAAATAACGTTTTCAGTGATTCAGTTATAAATATTCGTTTGTGCATTTCATATCATTATGGCTAACAACAGAGCTGCAAAATCCGGTTTCGCCGCTGAGGCACAAAGAAAGGTGGGTGGTGGTAAATGAATTATGGTGGTAAATGAATTAGAGGAATTTGTTGGAAAAATTATCTAAATTTTGTTATTTGTTTCTGCATATTGCGTTCATATATGACATGCAATTTTACCATATTGCAAAATCATTAAACTACGTATTCATAACAGATTGAATATTACACTAAAAATATTAAAATTAATTTTATGATTAAAAATCATATGTATATATTATAAAATGTGCGCATAAATTCATTATTATTTTTTTTATAAATCAAGATGTATCAAATGATTTAACATTGTTTAAGTTAATGTGAATATTCTTTTTTTTTTAATGCATATAAATGCGGAAGATAAATTAAAATATACTTCAAGTATTAATTATATGACAAATATTTTACTTCAGAAACATGGCAGTTTTATTTTTTACTATGAATTCCCGACCGTCAGACATATAAATTAATATAAAAATGGACAAATAAAAAAATCCTATTTTATATACGATGAAATTTTTATTTGCATTTTTCATTTACTATTAATTGCTGGCCTATAAACATATCAATTAATATATAAATTGATAAACATAAAATCCTATTTTAATTAAATTATTTTTTTTACTTTTTTTACTTTTTTTACTGCCTACAGATATATCAATTAATATATAAATTTTTTTTTTTATTCTCATTATAATAAAATATTTATTTTTACTATCTATTCCCAGCCTAGAATATCAATTATTATATGAATTTATAAGTAAAAAATACTTTTTTAATTATAATGAAATATTTATAGTCACCTATAGATATATCAATTAATATATAATTTGATAAAGAAATAATCATATTTTTTTACGATGAAATATTTATTTTTACTATAGATTTCTTACCTTAAGATAAATCAGGTAATATATGAAATCATAAATTAAAAAATACTATTTTAATTATAATTAAATATTTATTTTTACTATGAATTTCCGTCCTACAGAAATCAGTCTATAATATGTCTATGAAATCAATATATAAATTGTTAAATAAAAAATTATATTTTAATTATAATTAAATATTTATTTTAACTATGATTTCCCTGCTAACAGAAATCAGTTAATATATAAATTGTTAAATAAAAAAAATGGTTTAATTATATTGAAATATTTATTTTTACTACGAATTCCTGCCTACAGAAGGATGAACAAAAAAATCCTATTTCAATTATAATGAAGTATTTATTTTTACTATGAATTCCTTACCTAGAGATAAATCAGTTAATATATGAATTCATAAATTAAAAAATACTATTTTAATCAAAATGAAATATTTATTTTTACTATGAATTCCCTGCCTACATTTATATCAGCTAATAATATATAAATTGATATTTATAATAAAATATTTATTTTTGTCATAAATCAGCTTACTTAGATATATTAATTAATATATAAATTCATCATGAAAAAATGTTACTCCGACCTAGAGATAATATCAATTGATATTCAAATTGATAAATTGAAAAGTTTTATTTAAATTATGATGAAATATTTATTTTTACTATGAATTCCGACCTATAGACATATCAATTAATATATAATTAAAAAATACTATTTTATTTATAATGAAATATTTAATTTTACTATGTATTTCGGCCTGTAGACATATCAATTAATATATAAATTGATAAATCAAAAGGTCCTAATTCAATTATGATGGAATATTTATTTTTACTATGATTTTCCGGCCTGCAGATATATCAATTATTCTATAAATTGATAATCTTTTTTTTTAAATTATAATGAAAAACATTTTTTTACTATGATGTCCCGCTCTACAATTATATCAATTTTTATATAAATTGATAAACAAAAAAATCCTAATTGGTGGAAATCGTGGAAATCATATTTAATTATCATGAAATATGATTTCCACTATGAATTCCCGGCCTATAGACACTTCAATTAATAAATAAATTGGTAAATGAAATATCCAATTTTAATTATAAAATATTTAGCAAAGTGTGATAAAATAAAACATTATTTTTGCATTCGAAAATCAACATAAATATTAAAATCCTTAACAATTCGTTTCCGCGGAAGTTGATTTAGTTCCCATTCAAATAAATGTTACCTTTGGGAAAAGCAGGTGTTACAATCGTTACCATCTGCCTGTCTTAACGCGTGCTCGAGAAATGTGAAATCTAAAATTAAAATGGTACACCCTAAACTAAAAACTTTAACATTTCAATAATTTGGAATGGATTTCACGAAATAATAGCTACATTATTCAACCAATGCAAAATATAGATTTCATGGGTACATTTTTAACGAAGATAACACTGTGTATAACCTTGATCTGGTATTTTGTCAGAAGTATTTATCAGCAGAGTTGGGATAACTATTTATTTAATTTTTCTCTTGTAAAATTACTTTTTTTACCTTAATTTACTTTTTTATTTACTATATTTGGTTGTTTAGCCTTTGCCAGGGAAAACGTTCAGTTGGTCCTTTTTACCCCACCCACGTGTAAGCTCTTATAGAGGTTATATAAAAAAACTGTAGACTCCAACTTAAAAATAACAATACATATTATAAAACTATTAAATAACGTATACTCAAAAATTATATTAAGGTCTCGTAAACTAAACAACAGTGCTCACAAACAAAGAAGCTAGCATCGAGAGAAAATACTTTTGTTATAGATTTTCAAACATTGTCATTTATCTCCTGATAGTAACGTTGTAAGAATCAAGGTAATGGCTGGTTAAACATCTTTTTCCCTCTACTTTCAAATATTATTGTTAAAAAATTCTTGTCTTTACTTGTTTCTGAGATATCGGTGGTGGACCTTTTTACCCGAGATTTTTTCAATATTACTGAAATCCATAGTTAAATTTGTAAAGCCTTATGTTTTGCAATAATCTTTAAGTGTTGCACATTCAAATTGACTTATCTAATATTTAGATAATTTTTGGGTCTAGACGCCGGGCCCAAAAATGCTAAGACAACTTAATGTATACATAAGATAATACCTATTTGTTCAACATTTTTTGGGAAAAATACATACTGACAAAAAATCTTTCGCTAATATTATCTAATTTCATTTTCTTAAACACTTATAATACTAATTATGATAAAAACGATCCCAACTCTAAGTTTTCATTTAATAAAGCAGAAAAATATTTTGATTAATTTTCTTTAATAAACTTTTAGTAAATAATTTACGTCGTAGTAAACGTGCCTAAACATAATTACTTGGGACCGAATTTATGACGAATTGTTTGTTTGTTTACGAATCCTATGTAATATTAGCCATTTCAGCAGAATCGTGAAACATAATTAACTAAAAATAAACAACATTTAGAAATTAAATAATAATAAGCGAGCTATGCATTTTAATCACGCTTTTGTTGATAATTTAAATTTGAGTAATGATTATGCGTAACAGATGATTGCAAGTATGATTATGCTAATGTTTGTAAGTTAGGTTTCTATAAAGTTCTATAAATGTTCCTTTAAACTTGTAACATTTTTTTTTAAATTTAAAAATTTATGATATTTTCTCAATTTAGTAACAATTTAAATATTTTATATAATTTAAACTAATGTGCTTACTGCTCTTTTGGTATTAGTACATTCATGTATTATTTTACTTCACTTTTTATGCATTTTGAATATGAAGAAACGTGCATTATTAGGACAATAAGTTTCCAACCAATATGTAAGTTTATGTTTGTGCTTCATATGAATAACAAGTTTATTGCTTGGGCGAACGATAAATATTTCAATAAAAATCCATTTGTTTTATTTCAGTTATAAATATATTTGCTTTTACAACATTGAACTAATAAAATGCGATTTCTTTCAACCGGCGAGATATGTAAATACATATGAGTATGCATGAATATATAGAATATTGTATTACATTCATATTTAAAATAATAACAATGTATGTATGTATAGTATAGGGTAGAGCGGGGCTTAAAGGTCGGTGAATAAAAAAGTCCACCACCGATACCTCAAAAACCAGTAGAGTTTAAATTTTTTGAACAAAAATATTTGACAGTAGAGGCAAAAAGATGTATATCTAGCCAACACCTTAATTATTACGACGTTGCTATCGGGAGATAAAAGGCATTGTTTGAAAATCCATAGCAAAAGTATTTTCTTTGGTTGTTAGGTTTCTTGCTTGTGAGCACTGTTGTTTAGTTTACGAGACCTTAATAATATTTTTATGTATAAGTTATTTAATTGATTTATAAGATGTATCATTAATTTTAAGTTAGATACAACAGTTTTTCATATAACCTCTATAAAAACTTATAAATAGGTGGGGTAAAAAGGACCAACTGAACCTCTATCCTAGCAAAGATGTATATATTAAAAAGCTAATAAAAGCAATTTTACAAGAAATAAGTTAAATGAATAGTTATTCCAACCATGCTGATAATTATTTCTGACAAAATACTAGATCAAGGTTATATACAATGTCAACTATAAAAAATGTACCCTTCATAGTACATTTATATTTTGCATTGCTTGAATAATGTAGTTATTAATTCGCAAAATGCCTTTAAAATTGAAAGTAAAGCCCGGTGCACACGACGCCAGTATTCCTTGTAATATGATTTCTATCGTAACAGGATTTCTAGCGAGCAAGAATTTTGCGCCAGATTTTCACTTATTTTATGATTAATATTAATTTCGTACATTTTCAAATAGATTATTATAAATATACATACTGTGAATATACGTATACTGTGAATTTCACAATTTATATTTTATAGGTCTAAAATACACTAATGCTTATAAGTGTACAAACAGAGAATTGTATGAATTGTAAACAAAAACATGTACGTATCGCATCTGATTAGAATTAAGTGAAATAATAATAATTAAAAGATAATAAAATGCTTCAGTTTAAGGGGCACAACTAGTGTGAAATTTTCAAACTGTAGTCGAATTTTCATATTTTTTCATATTTCGATAGGTTATACCTTTAAAAATAACATACCAAAATTTCAAATCGA